CTACCTCAGACTATCAGGTACATCACTCCATGGAGGTATGGAAAGAATGTACCAACAAATGTTTACTACTTTACTATTCCTAATGGTAGAAATAATAAAATTGACTTCAGAATGTCTTAGAATCATGCCATAATTATACTTTATTTTAAATACAAATGGAATTTCCTTAACCTTTACTGGCTCTGAAGGCACTGAGAAGTCAATCCCTTCTTGCTTAAGTTTTGCATAAAGTGATGGAATAAGATTCAACTGAGTGTCATTTTTGAAATCGCCCTCAGCCCACTTCTTAAGCAGCTGTCGCAATTTCTCAGCTACTCTTGGCTGACTTCGGCCAAGTAGTTTTCGAAATTCAGTTTCAAAATCTCGGGATGCTACTTCCAGGTGAAAAGTCTTCCCACAGTTGCTTACACAAGCATCGAGTAACTGAAACACAACAACAAAAAATTCACACTGTTATTAGGATATACACAACAATAAATTATATGTGAGTCAAAAGTCATGAGTAGGAAAGGGGGTAGTAGTTATGCCCTATTTGAAGATTTTATGGTAACAACTCAATAACTAAAGAATCACATATTCTATAAAGTACAAGTAAATGTTATCCTCTGCAGGATTAAGTGATTCGTTGTTTGAATCCATATTCCAGACAGGTGTTCATAGTGCTCACAAGTTAAAAATTCAATTTTAATATGGTTCTTATACTGCTGCATTCCATCATTCTCTTTCATCTGACATCCTGACATACCTCTCTCTCACACAAGCAGCAATGGCCATTATACAGCCTACAAAATACTTAATATTTTTAACAATTTTGTAATCAAAAACCAAATTAAAAATGATATAACAAAGAGCATTACCTGCTAGTTCACATTACAAGTAAGACATCAATAACCATTAACTTTTACAGAGAATAAAGATATCTGTCTTCTGGGTTATAGCATCATGCAGAAATTTACTGATTTTCATAGGTGCTTGCTGCCTCTATTAACAGGGCGATGATGGAGGCAGTAGGCACTTCTGAAACATCAGTAAATTTCTTCCTCATTACATGGTGCTACAACCCTGCAGACAGTAATCTTCATATTTAATGGTATGAGAAACTTGAATCCAGGGAACAGATAATAAAGTTTTGCCATATCTCACATAAATACTGCATATTAAAGGTTAATTTTGGGCTCTGGAGGAGAGTGAAGATGTCACTAGGAAATGTATCATGACTTACCGTGATAGCCTGCATTACTATGTGAGGGTCTTGTTGGTTAAGACGTTTAATAATTGCTCTTAAACAGTCTTTTGCATTTATGGTGGACTCTCCTATTTTGTCACATATGTCCATAATTAGACCCCACTGTTCTGATGTGTTCTTCTCATCAGTTGCTTTCTCTGAAATTTATAAATATGACACGACTTACGCCAGCATTCTTAAATAATCTGGCCGCATAATGTGGGGATTCCAAAGAAAAGATGGTGAGATATATTGTGAAGATGAAACAGGCAAATTGCATAATCCATGGAGTGAAGAAGAAGAATATTCTAAGCATTATATGAGGAGTGAAGTAAAACTTCACACATTCATAACCTTGGCACTAGGTGGTGGTGAACAGCCAGCTTCACAGTCCACCTGTTTAAACACCCTTGGGGAAAATGCCCCGAGTACTTGTAGGACAAGAAACTAGATGGACTGCAGAGTTAGACTAAAAATGGTGGGAAAATAAGACGCCCCTAGCCTTTTTAAAACTGAACTCCAGCCCATAACCTGACACATTCCTGACTCAGATATACCAGTTCATTAATTCTTCAATTATATATTAATTTGTACATCCTCAAACCAAGATATGCAAACAGTGTAAATCACCATCATACAGAAAACTATCTACTGGTCAAACTGTTTTACTTAAGTAGTTTTGTGATTTCTATCTACCAATTCATCCATCCCTTCAGCTAACCAATGCCCAACCATGACTATTGCTCTAGCCACCAACTTGTAACTATCACTCTCAGAGATTAGCTCCTGGTTGGGTTATTTACAGTCTTTCTGTTCTTCCAGCTAAATATTGGGATAATAACTTAAAACTTATCATGAATGCTTCCTTCCAATCCATCATTCACACACTTGTTAAATGTCTGTTAACTCAAAAATTAGTCAATCTATTCACTACCATCTGACCTAAGTTCAGTATTCCATAGCTATTCTGAGACAAAGTCTTATATAAACTATGCTTTGAAACTCAGACTCAAGGTTTTAAGATGCTCACTAGTGATAGCAGAATCTGAAGATTCAACACCACTAATATCAAAGCCTTCAGCCAGCTTCTTCTACCTCCCATAGCCACAACCCATTTCTCACCATCTCCAACTGTCATCCAAGTAGCTACTTAATAAAAATTTTCCCACTTAAATTCCAAGCTCCTTAATCGTTGTTACTTGGTAGCATATCTAGGTATTCAAATACCTTTTAAAGTGGTCTGAAACCATATCATGTTTTAGATATGTGCAGTACAGACTCTTCAGATTTACATGGACATGGGATAAATATACTAGTACAAGCCTACTTCAGTTGCTGCCATCTGCCCATGTGAAATACTGAACAGTACTGCAAGTGCTTCAATAATTTGGTTCAGAAATCAGTCCATTATTTATCAGCCAGTGAATGATGCTGACCTGTCACCTGTATCTAATGCCAATTTTGAGAATGAGTAGGAGCTATACTTCCTCTCACCTCAAAAATTCTGTAGAATACTCCAAAAAATAAAAGGCACCATGGTGGCAATATACAATTTCACTCTTATGCATAGCGTCTTCTACATGTTATTCTACTGTGCCAACAAACGTGGCAATACACACACACAACATACATATAACACCACAAACGTGCAAGGCATAAAGCTGTTTTAAGAGGATCATACATTATACACTATGACTACATAACCCAACACTTTCCCTGGAAATTTCTGTAACTAATTTATACTTTCTATCAATATCATGTTACCAACACTGTATACCACTTCAAGACAGCCCCAACTTTACTTATAAACCATTTTCTTATGATAAGAAACTACAAACGTCACGTCAAATCACATTAATGGAATGACCATGTTATGCAACGTTTAAACCACAAGTCATGTACGCCTGATTTTGGCAATAACTATAACATAACATAATAATATAATTCATATTAAAATTGTTTAATGTGAAAATGATTTGCTTGTGACGGGAAATAAAAACTTACCAACGTCAGAATCTAAAGATGACGACGCTGAAAACAGCCCCATTTTCTGGCAGAAATTATCACTCCAAGCTATTATCAACAACACTATACATTAAAATCACATTAAAACAAACCATGCAGGTTACTGCACTCCCTGAAAAATTGACATCAACAGATGACTAATCCCATAGATTACAAACGTAACTAACACCATCCTTCTGGTGCAACTATACGTGCCATTTTCTTGTTAATCATGAGACATCTATGGAGTGTAACAAATATTACGTTGTAGTTCTAACATGTAAGCCAATATAGCAATTTCAATTTCCCGACATGATCATTTTACGCCGAACTTTGGATATTAACTTCCAGCCTTATGATTCACAATAAAGGGATAATGATGGAATGACTTAGGAGCTGATAATAAGAGATTAGAGATATCTATTTCATGACACATCGAAAAGTCGTCGAAATCTGATTGACCGAATTGTTTCCGTCGTAGATAACCCTGGTTCACCGGGATCAGTTCACTAGGCAGTTTTTGCTATTAATGTATTTATGTGAATAAAATTTCACATTGGAAAGCTTTATAATTTGGCAGATATTATTACAGAGATGAGGGAAGATATGGTACACATAGAAGACGAGAAATGCATACAGATATTTAGTCAGGAACTTGGAAACAGACTACGCGGGAGATCTAGGTGTGGATGGGAGGAACTTAGATGAGACTTTAAAGATAGCTGTAATTGGGGTATACTTGTTTAGTTAGTTTGTTTAACGACACTAATACAGTAGTTCATACTATATAGCATTGATGGGGTATACTGGATTCAACTGACTTGATTAGTCAAGTGACATGTTCTAACCATAAAGTATCACTGGGTTACATGATATGCAGAAAGTTTGTTGATCTGCCCCTTGAGTTATTTGGGGACAAGGATCTTGGCAGTATATATTTAGATTTTATGAGTGTGGGCCAAAAACAAAATATTAAGATTCTGAGTGTTTGAAATGTGGCTTTAGAAAAAAAACATTCATTAAATCAAAACAATTAAGAGCTGAAAAGTGTGAACAACATTAGATAAGGTGGTACACTCCAATCAGTAATGACTGTAGGCCAGGCTGTTACACTTTGATTCCTGATGGGGTCAATTTTACTCTTTAATGCAAATCACATCTTGTGGCCACCTGTTGTACTTCACAGTGAATAGAAGGTACATTTTCATTGGGTTAGTTACCGGAATGTGAAGATGAACAATCACTTCAACGAGTTCTGAGGTCTAGGATATTGACATACATTTAAAGCATGACACTTTGGTTTGAGGACAAATTAATACTTGCACAATTTATGTTCAAACATTGTTTCTGCTACCAAGTTGTGCTTGTGATAATGCTAGTGCAAATCAGAGGGCAGTTTCATCACTCCTATGAGGAGTACGAGTCATATTCATACTTCAGTTGTATACTCTCATTTTATTTTTCACTGCACATGATAATTTTTTGTTTCCACTCACATGCTGCACAGTTTTCACCTCTAAGTTTGATTAATATATATTGGTTCTAGAGGTCAGACATGACTTTTTCTGAGCCATGATAAATGTACTGATGTGGGCAAGGAGAACATGCAAAACAAGTCTGATGGTCATGTGGAAAAACAAATGTGCTACATTCTTATTGCTTTCTGGTGTACTTCTTGCTATGCAAGTTTAACATATGATTATATTCTGAATCAAAGTTATTAGAAAGGATGATGCTTGAATATACTGTATGAAATACAAGAATGAAACAATTCTGGGAGAGATGTTAATTTAATTTCAAAGACAAATCTGCAGTAAAATGTACTTTGCTGATTACATAATTAAAGGATTTATTGATAAATGCAGACACTAGCAGTAGATGATCCAAGTCTACTTAATAAATATCTGTATATAAAAACATAATATGTACATTGGAAATTAGCGCAAGTTTTGTAAAAAAAAAGAAAGAAAAAGAAACACAAGAAATTTACATATTAGTAAGCACACATTTTTAAACCCTATCATATCACCATCACTTATCAATTCCACATATTCAACCGTTTAAAAGTCAGAATCTGTTGGATGACTAAGGATCACTGTGTACTGTAAAATACTTGATACTAAGGCAGGAAAAAGAAGTTTTATTGTTAATATGGAACTATTATGCAGAAATGGTTTTGTGACAATGTGCATATACTTCACATCATTACAAAATACTGTTTTAAGGCAGAGTCATTGAAAATAAAACCTTTCTTTCCTGTCTCACTGATTATGCCAATTATTTTCCTTGTATTAACATGGCTCATGATTCAGTTCCTCAGTTAATGGTGTAATAACATTTTTGTTATCTCCTAATCAATTATTCAATATACAATAAACTAATATTCCAAGTCAAGTACTGAAATACAATTCATAATGACTAAATGACTGTGTGGTGGTAATCATGGAATGGTTGGATGTTTTTACTGTATATATACGTAGTGAATGCTCCTGAATCACAACCAAAACTGAAGTCTTAGTTATAAGCATAAATAAAAGAAACTCAGCTGCATTAATCATTATTATGAGCACATTTTACATAACAGTAGGTATCCATGACATAATTATGGTATTCTTCATCTCATAATTAAACACAGAATGACAGTTACAGATTAACAAAATACCCAGTATAGTAAAATAACAGACAAAGTTATCACAGCTGTCGTGGGGGGGAGGGGGCAAAGAAAAATAAGTAATTTTGTTAATTTTGAAAATGTGTACAAAATAATTGTAACTAATTTTAAACATTCTTTGTAACTGCTGCTTACCTAAAGGTGTGTGACATATCAGATTTGAAGAGATCCGCTCTTAACTACTATGATATATGTAAACTGCAGCAACAAATCTCTCTCAATGTAGAGAATGGGCTACAACCATGCACACACGTTTATATTTGTACAGTTATGACATGGGCTGGAAGATGGACAGATAAAACAAATGGTCCCTATTTCTTCAATGGTAAGATCAAGATATCTGCATACACTACATTTTCTGGGCAATATTTCAATACACTGATAATGCTACATGGTTAAAAAGTGCCACCACATTTGTGCCACTGTGCATTCATTTGTTGACATAAGAAGGTTCAAAATATATGAACTGTATGAAAATGTCCTGTTGAATGGTACTTAACAACACTAAATTTGGTGGTGGGGAGGAAGAGAGGCATCTGAAGTATATTGTCTATGAGAAATGCCTCAAACCTAATAAAAATATTTCAACCAAGTGCACCAAAGTCACAAAGGAAGTGTTCATTTTATTTTCCATCAACAGTGTTCCTCATCATTCCTCTATTGTGCCAAGGAAATTTTGCTTGCAGTTAAACATGTACACTGTTCAATTCATATTAAGTACACATGAATTTTAAATAAGGACACCTTAAAGAATAAAAATAATAGGGCTAAAGATTGAGGTTAATTATACAATTTTATACTGCTTGCAGTAGCTGAAACAAATTGAAATGTCCTTCACTGCAACACTCTGAACAAAAGCAGTTCAACATAAACTTAAAATTTTATCTGTTGTTTAAACAGGAATATGTCTAGCCAGTTGCATAAAATGGCTTCCTGTTTGTCACGTGTGTGTATACAATCTCAGATCAATGGACTAGACTAACTGGTTGTGCACAGCAGGACATTTAATATGTAAAATAATGTTGACTAATCCTGTCCCATGCTGTTGGTGCAAAATAATGGAAAGCAACTGGGAAAAATAATTTTATAATTTTTTATGAATGGATATGCACTACATTGAAACATACAGAATAAATTACTTCCTAAAGAAATGCATCATATGCTATACTTTGAATCAGAAAAAAATGTTCAATTAGGTTCATCAAATTGTATTAATCATATTAATAAATTTTATCTCACTCATCATTCTATATAATTCTCATGTGCTTCAGAATGTTATTTAGCTTCATTTGTTAAGACAAAAATAAAACAATTGTTTTGATGCAAAAGAAAGAACTGATACTGAATTTCATTATCCTACACGAGTTCTCATCACTTCAATGTATAACTAGCAACGAACATGCCTGGTGGTAATACAGACCATGACAGATAGTATGAAATGTATGTGTAGCTTCCACAGTTTCATTGTACATTAAGATAATCACTGAGAAATTAACAGTGAAAGCTAATGAGATTGGGTGGAACAACAGTAAACAGAATCAAATGACAGGCATTAATTTCTAAGATCCAAGTAAAACTCAATTTTGTGCTCTCTTCACTTTTCTTGTTTGTTTCCATTATTTACAGAGAAATATTATATGGCAGATTTCACTGTATCATTAATATTACAATTTTAAATCATCCATAACATGATTAAGGCCATGACAGTCCAAAGAAAATAGTCGGTCCTTGAAGATAAGATTTCAAAACATGTTATCTATGTCATGAAGTCATTTGAACATGACAAAAATACCATATAAACAATAAAATATTGAATACTAATCAGTAAGCTAACCCATTAACTATGACATACAAGATAAAACAAGTGCTTGAAGCTCCTACCCTGTATTATGGAAATGAAATTTAGTTTTTCAGAAAGTGAGAGATAAAACAATCTGTTGAAATTAAATTTTTATGAAGTGTGAAAGGATGTATTAATTTGGGTATAACACACTACAAAAACCCACATATATCTGGTATAAGAAAAAAAATAAATTCATACAGATGGAACATCTAAGCGGAATGACAGAATAAAATTTTTAATTACCACCCATAACAAAGAATAAATATTGAAGACCATTTAAACACTGAACTGAAATTACAATTGACTTGCAACCCTGTTTCTGGATAACAGATGAAGATATTTTACTATATAAGGACAAATTTTTGGCATTAACCTTTCACACACTGTAGAGACTTCTGGGCTGTAACACCACACAGTACTGGGAGAAACACCCAATGCTTTAGAGGAATCAACTGCTTTATCTTCAAGGCAGACATAACAGAAGTCCCTTCAAAATCCTGGAAACTTCTTCCAAACAACATGATGTTACAACACAGAAGAACCTACAATGTGTATAGTTTGCATGAAAAACTCGTATGTTACATGAGGTAACAATTCTGTTCTGGACTGTGACATTGTGCTGCCTTGTAGGTGGTTACCGATGCCTGAACCCTGGTTTGTACCCACCTACAAGTCCACAAGGCATCAAACCCAGAAGACCACAATCAATATCTTCACATCTGCTGAGAACACAAAATCTTACATGATGCCTTTGTTTAAGTTGGTACCGTTTCTGAGTAGAGTCTGGAAAAGTTTACTTTGTGTATGTTTGTAAGTAGGGATTACTGATACAGTTAGCAATACACTGCAAAACTCAGAAAATAAGTGAGAATTTTATCCTTGTAACTATCTGAATTTAATAAAAAGACATATTATGCAAATTAAGTTCTAAAAGAAACCTTTTGTAGACATATCAAAGAATGTTACTACTCTCTACAGCCTTCCCTAAATTTTCTGTTGTAATTTAAAGTCAGGGCAGATGCATCTAGTAAAACACAGTAAATGTGAAGATAAAAATAATCTGTTAAAGATGCATGATGACAGCTGATTCACTGCACCAAAATTACGAACACTGCCAAATGTCTGAGGTATATTTAATATTACATGACTTTTCAGGAGTTGGCTCTCCTTTTATTTTCAGGTGCTTAATTGCTGGTCATTAAACACAACCTGTTTAAAGTACTTCTTATCAGTGGCAACAATGAAGATCAAACTTGGGAAACATTTGAATACTCATACTGTATAGTAGCCACTAAACAATTTAGCAGAACTTGCAAGATAATTAAAAAAATCTGTTTGATCCTGAGCACTGACACTGTTATCAGGATGGTTGTCTCAGTATAATGAAAACCAACCATGAAGCTAACCTCTCAAAATGTTACTAATATCAGACATACTTCAGACATGGATAATGTCCCATGTAACATGACAGAACTTGTGGGTTCTATCAACATATTCTGTACACAGGATATCTGATAAATGCTACAATATAACGGGGAGAGAGAAGTTTGCCTGTAGGAATCTCAACAGAATATTACTTATGTCATTTTTCTAAAACAAGTAAGAACATCAGTGAAGTGTGCAACTACTACATATCTGTGTCTGAACGTATGTTTTCCCAACAACCTTCACTACAGTATGTATTTTGCCTCTCTGTTCATATTTTGATCTTCATTATTACATCTCCAGGTGTTTCCATTTAGTCAGTCATACCTTATTCTGTATTCTTTATACATCAGTACACCATGCTTTGTTTTTATAAACACAAAATACCCACTGCCAAATTACATTACTAATAGTTAAAACATTACATCAGAGCTCACTGAGACAGCCAAGAATCTGCTTATATCCAACCTGATTAACCACCAGGACAACAACCAACCATCAACAAACATAATACAATGACCAGGATCTGGTAAGTGTGAGTATGTTTAATTTTATCAGTCATGTTAAATGCTATTAGTAAAACATTTATATTTATACTTTAGTCAACTGGAAATTAGTATTACTATTTTTTTAAACAGTTTCATTTAGACACAGTTCAATGAGTTATAAGACTTTTTTTAACTGCATTCCTATTTAAGCAGCACTGTCCTTTTAAATTACTTTATGCTCAAATCAAGAAATAATTTTGTTTCAGCCAACTGTGTTGAATCACCCTCCTGCAAGATTATCTAGAACTGCAGATTGTTTTAACTTGAGTATACTGAATTTATTTATATTCTTGTGTTTTAGATTTTGATATGAAAATGTATTATCTTCATCGCCTTTTCACGATCTCTTTGCAAACAGTATACAAGAGCAAGAACATTCACATCCTTCATAATTGTTCTGTGAAGCACAGAAATGTTGCTGACGATGTAACACTGATTATTAAAAAACATTACAACTCAGGCCAAAGCCACATATACAAAGGGAATGAACAAATGATGCAAAAAGCCCAGCAACCCACTGCTAGTCAACAAAGCACCATAAATTTGTAAAATGAATCTTGGTTTAAGAACACAGATAATTCACTCAGAAAATGACTATAGTTCTTGACAACCTTAATCTGTATTCCACATGCTGATCAAAAGTTGTAAATCTGCTTATGTACCATTCACACTTAAAAACTACATCTGTGACTGCCCATCCATCCTGCTTACATTGCGGTAAATTAAAACACTGCATCAAGAACTTGTATGACTGATAAACTTTGATTTCACTCAACAAAACTGATGACTAAATAACGAGTGCCATATCTTTTTTGTTAGGTAATGCCACCTTCTTTCCTTGCCATAGGCTGTTATGGATCGTGAAGGCATCAATGGTGACTGTCAGATGTTTTGTATGGACCTGTGAGAAGCATTTACCTCCAGAATTATATCTGAAAGTTATGAAAGTGAAATTAATCACCTATAAAGAAATAAATTAAAATTAAAACTATAATTAATGAAAAGCACATATCTTCCAAATGCATTTTCTACATCTCATTAACTTTAAAGTCAATTTAATGCAGATAAAAGAACCACTGTAATTGGGACACTTTGGAACTAGAACACTTTGGCCCAATTATGCGAAGTTCCATGTAAAAAGTTAAAAAGGTTTGTTCTTTAAGATTTGTCCCAAATAAATGGTGCCTCGATTAACCGATGGCCCAATAAACCAGAATCTACTGTGTGTGTGTGTGTATATCCGATGTCAGTTCCAGTTACTAAGAATAGAATACTTACTTAAAGAATTTATCAAACATTCGATCATTGACTTGTTTTGGACCAGTGCCATATAGTTTGCAAACCTCTTCTTGTTCAGGGCAATATGAGTATAATGCTCTAAATTGGCAGCCTGCATCTCGGAAAAGTATTAGGAAGTGTTTGCTCTCTGATCGTGCTATCTCTTCTAGAACTCTTCGCTTTGCCTCTTTATTCACTACACCTGGAAATACGCAGTATTCAACTGCATTTAGCATTATGCCTCGATTTGATTTGGTTGTTGGTTGTTTATATAATCTTGGACCTGTGAAGAGAAATATTGCTGTGTAATGAATTAAGTTCAAAACAAATGTATAAAGTGAAGCTTTCGCGGTGATTGAAGTTGAAAGACTTTCAGGTTACAAGCCACGGCAGGTGGCTGAATGGCGAATAAACCATATCTTCTGCCAACGTTTCAAGAGCAATCTCTGCTCTTATCCTCAGGGCTGCTGCATAACAAATCTGCCATTGAGATCCGCCTGCATGACAACAACTTCAATAGGGATGATGGTTTCACTCTGGTATCATGTGACAAAACTGCTGTCTGCCCGGAAGGCCGAGCCAGCGAGTGTGAACACTTGACCTTGACTGCCAGTGCCTATTGGTCATAGTGAAACAAAGCAATGGACAAGCCCCCAGCAACACCATGCTACTACCTGCCGTCCACCGCCAGTTCCCATGGACCACATTTGTTACACAGCAGCCCTGAGAATGAAAGCAGAGATTGCTCTCGAAACATTGGCAGATGATATGGTTTATTTACCATTCAGCCACCTGACACAGCTCGTAACCTGAGAGTCTTTTATATTAGGGTTTACACGCATTTTGAAGACAGCAGGTAAATAAAATGATGTTCCATCAGGTAGACATTTAAGGCAAAACATCTAAACTGTTATAAAACGAAGATTTCACATTAATTTGGTCCCACACATATACTACAGGTTGATTATTGGAGTTCACGGGTGCCTTGATTACACAAAATGGTGTGCAAACAGCTACCTACAGATGCACTGGTCACTCTGCTAACCTGTGTACTCCATCATGGAACTAGGTGTTGAACTGATGTCACTGGAGCCATCATCAAAAACCCTACGCTTTGTCATAAGGCCAGGAGGTAATGAACCAGGACCTGAAATGAATGAAGTTCAGTTAACAAAGACTGACTCTGCATGCTATTACTAATGGCAAGTGCAGTGCCTTCTATTGGCATGACATCCATATCGTGAAAATCGATCAGATGACCCAAATGTTACTAAGAGGTACACGATGATACCAAATATCCTTATTTCCTTACAATAATAAATTAGGCTAAAATAGTTATTTTATTTTATATGAAAAAAATAAAAAACCCAGGTCAGTATGTGAAAGGAACACTGCCCTGTATACTGTACATGATACAATCTACTGGTACACCAATTACTTGAATAACTCTGCCAGAGATGTCACTAGGAGACATGGAAGAGAACGTAACTGCATTTTTACAAATAAGATCAAGAATGACAATTTACACGGGACATTTTCGATAATTTGGGCGAGGAAGATTTATGAATGTTAAGAGAATTAATGCAATATCAATTTACCTGAAGGAGATGGAAGATGTCGCATACTACTCATACCTGGCGATGGGGCTCGTCTAGGTGGAGTGGCTCGACCAAGACCAGAATCAGTGTCTGTGTATCGGTACACCATACTGTCCTGGTCTGTGCTGGAACCTGCAGTTTACAAGCACAGCTATGCTTTAATATGACAGCCTAATGCAGACTATTGAAATTATAAACATATCACAAACAAATTAATAAAGTATAATATCAGATATACAAATAAAATTCCATTGCAATATTAACTGGATGACACTGGCTGTCAAAATACTTACTAACTGAATAACTGAAATATGGGAACTCTATGATAATTCTGAGATACACATTTTCAAATATTCTGAATTGTTCTAAAGAGTATGCCAATGGTTTTACAATCTATAAAACACTGAACAAGTAACTGACTGATCTTCATCTAATTCGCCTGAAAGTGCAATAATATGTAAGGTTAACATCAGAGAGCAAATCATCAGAATCATGAAATATGCAGAATTACACTTAAATGCCTGTTCCTAAACTCCCTTTGATGTAGTCTGTCTTGCCATTCTCTGATCTCTTTACTTCGGTTGTATGTATTCGGTGCCTGCTTTGGTACTGTCTTTGTCTTCATTCTGTGTATGCATACAGCTAATACTTCTGACGGTCTTCAACCTCAATTCATGTGCACTCAGCAAGGCGACAACCTCGCTAAAGGAACTGCATTACCTTAGGCTAATAACTGCTTTATTTTCTGGAGACCCAAGGCTAAATCTTATCCTGAAGACTGGTTATCCTGACACACAATTTACGGTTTTGGTCACTTCCTCAAGGCAAGTGCCAGGACAACGCTTTAAATTATGTCACAAATGATTCCTTACATCTTTTCCAATGCATTATTCACTAATTGCCTTATTATTCAATGCTAAATAATCTGAGCTACTCAATATGTAATAAAATAAACCGCAAACATAAGAAAATGCACAATGAAGCTGTCTTATCAGTGTATCCAAATAAATAAAAATATGAAAACTGCAAAAACCATGTTCATTCTTACACAGCAAAAATTATACTGATTAATATATTAATCACATATGGCTTAGACAATGGTCTGTTCTGTGTCCATTAATTCCACATTCATTAGTCTTCAATCCCTTGCTCCAAACCACACACAAAAAGAGACGTTTTACACAGTGCATAACAATACATTGAAAAATTAACAGAACAAATACAATTCTACAAATTTACTACAAACCTGAGTATCTATGTCTTTGTATAACACATTAAAATGCAATAAAACCAAAAACAATAATATCAACTAGACACAATAATAAATTTACAGAATAACTACTAAATCATCCACCCTACTGGCAAGATTAAGTTAGTACATCTCCATGTCAATGGCTTCACATAAAACAATATGCCTTGGAACCAATTCCAATGATATATTTGTTCATTCATGATGCCAAAATAATGCAGGTTCTGTGGGCTCAAAGTCTCCACACCATTCACTGCCTTATAGGTACTATATTACTTAAACCTATTCTAACATTAGCTTCAAATATAACTTCTTTGAATATAACTAGTATTTATGAAGACCAGGAATTATCATCCTTAATGCATACTGCCAAATACAACTGCAAATATACAATTTGCACACAACACCACATCACATTGGCAATCTGCATAATGACTAACTTACAAAGTCTATGAAGGAAATCCCCTTGAAAAGCTTATAGTCACTTGGCTAATCAATAAGTTTCCTATATTTTATCAAACCCAAAGATGCATTAAGGTGTTCACAAGAGCCTGCCACTGGTCCGTATCCCGAGCAACATGAATCCAGACCACGCCAACCAACAATATTTCCTTAAGATTCAATCTAATATAATTTTCCACGTATCTAGATCCTCCAAGTGGTCTCTTCCCTTTAGTTTTTACAACCCAGCACATCTTAGCCTGCTAGATTTCACCATCCTAACAATACCAAGTGGCTGTATATAACAAAGTTAACATTAACCCAAACTGCTCATTTCATCCTTCTACAGTCCAAAAATTCTCTTGAGCACTGTAGTTTGGGTTCCCTCATGGTAAGAGGCATCATGCACACAAGAAACTGAAAAAACTGTTTTGTACAATTTGATATTCTGTATTTTGGAAAAACAGATGGGATGATAGTTTTTGAACCAAAACAGCAGAATTACCCTTTTCCTAATTTTGTCATGGACCTCATTTATATTCATTAGTTTTGTTTCTAAATAATTATATAACATCATTTATTTGTTACATTAAAACTCTGTGGGTGTGTCATGCCCATATTCCTAACAAAGAACATTTTAAGATGAAGGCTTAAGACTATTCCTGACCACCACCACTTGCTGGTTATCAGCAACTGCAAAATGTAATTAATTACCTTACCAGAATGTGCTTTTGCTTATATTTATTAAATTATTAGAAGAATCATAACATACATATTATGACATTTAAGAAAACATGGTATTTACAAGCCTGAAAACAAGCCAGATGTATTAAGTATGATAATTCCTAGTCAGGACAAAGTTAAATGTTATGAGGGGATATTCATTCACTAACACTAAGCTGCAAAAGAACTGTATTTTGTAACACTGTGCTGCATCTTAGTTAAAACATACATATACAATGTAAGATTGTTAGTAAAATAATGCCTATATATATTCACATGACAACTGAATCTTGCCTGGCCCACACACAAGGCCAATTTATGAACCAATTATTAACAACAGAACAGAATGAAACTGTTCTTGCATCATAATGTAAAATTTTCTTTCTTTCAAAACACACATTAATCTGTTTATAGCCTGCCAACACCAATCAAGTGCAAATTACATAGTGTAACAAATGACCATAAAACCTGAGATAACACAATTAAAATACAGTAAAACATGTCTAAAGTAGAACACGAACTAAGCAGAAATCTTTTCCGGAAAATGGAACTGTTTCCGTGCTCAGGAGAACAGAGAAGGGACACCTACTCAGTTGTGTCCATTACAAAGAGCTAACCTCAGTCACAATCTCATGGTGGCAAAATATGAAGTACGAAGGTTACTTTTTCTGGAATATTGAGCCGTGTGGTCTATAAACTACCAGACTACACAGCACTACAGTGCACAAGACAGTCATCTTGATACTCAGGCTGCCTGGAATTCTCACGTTTTACTGTATTTACTTTGTACTTACACACATCATTTTTCTTAGTGACATCAAATTACAACAAGGTTATGTGTAATGCCAACACTGGACACCAGCTACAGGACTGTCAAAGAGTGCGCAGCTAGGCAAGTCTTGTTGAGTGCAAATATATATACTGATAAGGATAAAGCAGCAGTTCATTTCCAAAACACCATTCAGCTGAGTGCTCCCAAAAAGTATTAATGCAGGACATCTTGGTTTTGGAAACAAACACAATTAAGATAGAAATGAGCTAGTTGCTGGTGCATAACCCGAACCGAACCATCACCGGTAGTAGTTGCAATCACTGGCTGAAAGCCTCTAGAACAGAAGGATAAAAAAACCATCCACCACATTTTAGCTGCATGCTGGGTCCATGGATGGATGGATGAAAACTTCTTACCACACAGATTCATGAGAGAGTTTGATTTCCGTCCCCTAAAGTTCCCTTGATATGTGGGATATTTCTGCCGGCCTCTAATTCGACCTGGCTCCGATGTATCTGCAAGTATTTTGCTCCTTGTAGGTGTAACTACAACAATGTTTAACCCTTTCCATCCTGCATTTATTGAAAAGCTTCTGTTAAATCACTGAAAAGCTACAAATAGTTACCTGAAACTGTTTTGTGATTGTAAAACAGGTTTTCTTTATTGGCTGTATGAAACATCAAATTCAGATAAAAGACAAGTGTTTTTGATTGAAATATCTCATGTAAAGCACAGAAAGGGTTACTACTGTATTTAAACACTTCATAGCTGACAAACTTAACAAACGATGTTAACTACAACAACAAATACAATCGAATGTCTATTTAATTTAGAACAGATTATACTAACAACAGGTTATGAAAACCAAAGTAGTTATCACATGATAAAGTTTCCTTCTGTTTTACTGGGAAGGGTCCAAATACACAAAATTACTCAGATATCTGATAGCAAACACATTACTTTAATGCTATTAAACAATTATATCCAAGTAAGTAATGTAATATACACAGACCTCTAGACGTTTTATAGGAACCTCTTCGACCCAACTGATTCACACTGCGGCAAGGAGATGCTCCTCGACCATCATCTGGAGAATCTGAAAATTACAAATTATTTTACTTCAACATACATAATGGTTAAATTTAAGCTCATAACAAACGATGAAATGCTACCCAAGATTTAAGGAGATATGGTCTACTGTTACTTTCTTCTTCTTCTTATTCTCTGAATTTATTACATTTCAAGGAACATATCTGGAAGAAACATAAAAAGATATGGAAAGTCTCGGCTAAATACCTGTCCTTCAGCACAAAACTAATTCTCCTGAATACAACAGACTGGTTTTCTACTGCAACATAATATTTATCTTCAGAATGAAACATTAAATAATACTGAATAAATATGTACAGATACACTACTAAATTTTAACAGTGTATGCTATTATCCTGTGATTAGTAAATATGCTATATGGTATAAATAAACTTTTGAAGGTCACAGTCTGTACTTCTTCTGCTTATAATAATGAAAAGTATATGTGGTACAGCCCAAGCAACAAAGTAGTCCACAAAAATCAGTGAACATCTCACCTCTAAACAAAGAGGTTCCAACGCCTCTGCGTTCTTCTATTCTGTCAGCCAAACTATCCTGTGAGCCACGGTAAAAATCTCGTCTCATGTGTGGACTGAAAACTGTGTCTGGGAGGAAACAGAAACATGCAAACAACATTTCAAACGCAATGCTACTCAGATTAAAATTAAAATAAAATATATGTGCTTTACTGCAACTAAGAGAGAAGAAGCATCCAGGACTGTACATTAAGTGAGAATGGATGGATTATTTACATACCTTATGTAAGACCTACAAGCTGTAAAGCATCACCACTATATATATATATATACTATCTCTTTGAGCCAACATTAATTTTCCTTCAGTTGCCTGCCACGTCTGTAAAGAATTGTAGCCTAAGAATAAATAAAAACTTGTGACTTGTGAATTTCTGCACAAGATGCAGACTTAATTTCTACATGTATTCAATGGATTTCAAAGAAATTTAGTACTGAAGGGCATCTGCCTCGAAAGTAAACAGATAAATTTCATTCAGTTCATATCACAGCCCAACATCTCCTGAAAATATAATTTTACTTTAAAATTTTTATCACAAATGGCTCATCTTAAAAAGTTTGTACAAAACATTGACTATATATTTCAATAAGTTCTACGACTCTTTATAAATTTTTTGCATGGTATACACTTAATGAAATATAACAAAAAATATAACTTACGACCACTCATTGTGGTGTTTTTAGTGTGATTAGCATTCCATCAACATATCTGTATGACTGAACATTAACATGAATGAGGTATGCAGCCTTGTAAATTATGAATTTGGAAAGAATGTGAATTCCAAATTACGTAACATTTTTCCACTCATTTCCAACTTACTTGTGTGTCTCATTTTCTCATTTAATTAACAACCGGAAGTTTTTTCATGTTTTTGAAACAACGCGGTTTTCGTGATTTTCCAACTACAATCGGAACCCGTTTGTCACTACCGTCACTGTTAACACACAGAAGAACAGTAATTCGGTGTTTTGCACGTATTCCCCCGTGGCAAGATTCACCTTTCAATGCCAGAGTCCTATCCGGGAGGGCGTTGTAGAAAAGTCCGGTCTCATCCGCATTATAAATGTCCCGCGGCTCATATCCCTCCAGCAGTGTTGGCAGTCTCTCGAGCCACAGCTCCGTTATTTCCACATCCACAGCAGCACTTTCGCCTTTCCTTTGTACTTGTAATAAAAGCATTTGTGAAGAAATTCACACTGCACATGCCATCTGGCATCGCTGGAACGAAATATGAGTGCACCCTAATTAAAATCGTAAAATTTCTGACAATGGGCACCGCCATTCACTCCAACTATCACCCCTGCACCGCTGACCCTCATTCCAAAAGAATGTGCTGGTTGGGCGACATAACAGGTTACCGCTACTGTTTATTCCAAAAACATTGTGCGTCTTTCGGTATTAATTTATCTCAAAACCCAGCATTTTAATTTCTCAGAAACGATCATTGCGGGAAAATTGTGGGCCGGGACTAAGATTTTTGAACGATCGATGCGATAAAACGATAGTTCGAGGAACGATAGAAGCGGGAAAATGTAACATTATTTTATATGGGATGTATTCGGGACCGAACAAAACGGACGATGCATCCGAGAAAACGATAGTTCCGGGAACGATGGATAGAGGTTTCACTGTATATGGCACAGTGCAATAGAAAATGAACATTAAAAGTGATCACAACAACCATCAGCAGAAAATTCTGGTACAGTGCAACAAAGAATGTACATTAACAGTCATCACAACCATCAGCAAGAAATTCTGTTCCTCTGTTTCACGTAAGCATGCACCTCTTTGAATTCAATACTAAAAGTTTTATTCTAAGACTGCAGGGAAGTGAAGATTACTGAGGGTTATTTATTTGACGATTGCTGTCTTCTGGGTTGTTGTGCCGTGTAGTCTGGTAGATGTCCACCAACGTTTCAGAGGTCCATTTTCCCTCCATCATCAGGCCTTCAATAATTCTAAACGGTAGCATTTTCTGTGGCACTAGCATTATCCAATTTTACTGTCAGCAATAAGCAGTGCACACATATACATACAGACATATTTTAGCTACAGACCAACATGGGCTATTAGAGCACAGACATTACCATATCAAACGCATGTTTACAGCTAGACCATCATAAGTGCACTTCCCAGAAAAATCGAACTATTAATAAGTATACATTAAACTAGTATTA